AGTAAGGCCATCATTGAATGGCAGTGTAAGTAAAGTGGTTTAGGAGAAAAGACTGATTTGGAGAGTCCAGAGTGAAGGCTGTTAACAGTCCAGGCAAGAAAGAGAGTATAGAGTCCAGAATTGGGAGAGAAGTAATATGAATTTTAAAAAAAGAAGGGTGGACCTGAGTTGCCTGGGTTAGAAGTTTCCAGTGGGGCTATGCAATCTGAAGAGCTGCAACCCGAGTTGGGCGGGGGTTTCATGGGGTTTGTTCTAATGCTTTTTGCTTTTTGGCTGATGGGATGCAAACTTTTATATGCCTCTTCAAAATAATAGCCCCTAGTGTCTACTGGTCGTATCATGACATAGAAATTGTGAAGGCACTGTATCTTTTAAAAAAAACCCCCTTTTGAAGAACTTCCTTAAAAACAGCTATTTAATGCAACTCTGCCAGTGTGTTCTTGATGGTTGTGTCTAAACAATTCTGATCTTTAAAAAATTATTACTTTTTTTTATCAGAGCCATTACCCTGGAAAATAATTTTTTATTTTCATGATAGCCTACCATTGAATTTCCAATTCTGATATTAATGAAACATCTCTATAAAGGGTTGAAGTATCTTCCCGGTAAGTGCTCAGCTTATGTTTTTCTAAATGTCTTCTAATCACTGTTCATTTTTCCCCTTGGCCTAATGAGTGTTTCTCATTGTCTGCATGTTCAGATGCAAGAAATAGTAAGCAATCATAGTAATCAATAATGTTTTTGAGCTTTATTCTTCCTTTTAGATTTACTTCTTTTAACAGTTGCAATAGTCTTATGGAGCATTTTAGTCAAAGAGAACATGTTCATTTTAAATATTTAATTCAAAATACAACTTTCAGTGCTTCTGCACTTTTGAGTCAAAGCAGTTAACTGAAAGTCATTGAATTGGCTTTTTAAAAATATGTGCTACTGATAATATTCACTAACAACCATGGCCCAAAGAGTGATTTCTGGATTTTCTTCTATTTTAAGTGACATGATGAAGTGATTTCCAAGAGCCACATAGAATTTTGATGTTTGACATATTATGTTGATATATGATGGATGGGTATAATGTCAGCCTTAGATTACATCTTATTTTATTATTCAGCATTAAACACTGAAGAGTAAACACATTGTGTTTGCGGTATAAATACTAAGAAGATACATGCTTGCGTAAAAAGAATTGCTGGGTTTACTTAATGAAATGATAAGCAATTTTGGACCCACCAGAGTTCTTTTTATTATGTGGGTTGGTTTTTCTTTGTTTGCTTGTTGTTTTGGTCTATAGAGCACAGTGTTAAAGGCATTTAATTGTGGGTCTATGGGATAATTGTGTATCTAAAGCAAAATCAGGAATACTTAGAGATGAGAAAGTAGATAACAAAATTATAGACCAGTTTTCTTAACCTAGGATTCAAGCAAGTCCAAGTATAGTCTGCAGGCTGAATTTTATTTGCAATGTAAGTTCAATTTTCATGGGAGGAAAGGGACAGCTTATGCTGGATTATCAGAAGGCAGTATGATACCAAAGAAGGGTTTTTTTTAAAAAAGTCCTACTTTTATAAGGCTATGCTAATGTAAAAAGGATTTTGATTTTCAGAATTTTAAAATACTTAAAATAATTTGCAAATACTTAAATATACTTTTGAGTTATTTCTACTTTCTCTTATCAATCAAGCAGGTTAGGTAGTTAATATATATAGCTGCTTTAATATTTTAGAACATTTTGTAATAATGGAAAAGAAAAAGAAATGTTTGTAGAATATTTTGTAGAAAGAAAATCTGTACTCATCAAAGATGAGGAAGTACTCTTGGTTTATATAAGATATTTTCAGAAAATATTTTTGAGCAAAATCTTATGTAGAATCAAATTAGAGATTGAATTTAATTTTGCTTTTTAAATATTAAACTTTTTCAGAATTGTCAACTTACTTTATTTTGTTTTATTCTTTTCTTCAAGCAATAATTGCTAAGGAACAGAACTGCCAATTTTTTAATGAAACATGGTAAGCTGACCTTTTAAAATTTTCTTTGTCTACAGAGGAGGTCTATAGCGTAATAATTTTTTTACAGCATAAAAATTAAAAAATATTTTTTTCTTTACTCTCCTTTCATTTTAAAAATAAAATATATGAATTATATTAATAAGGATATGAAATAGTTTACAAAGCAGTTCAATTTTATGTCTTGGAGACATATATTAGAAAGTAAGAGCATTTTGGCCAGGCATGGTGGCTCACGCCTATAATTCCAGCACTTTGGGAGGCCAAGGAGGGTGGATCACCTGAGATCAGGAGTCCGAGACCAGCCTGGCCAACATGCTGATACCCCATCTTTACTAAAAATACAAAAATTAGCTGGGTATGGTGGCGCATGCCTGCAGTCCCAGCTACTTGGGAGGCTGAGCCAGGGGAATCGCTGGAACCTGGGAGGCGAAGGTTGCAGTGAGCCAAGATTGCACTGTTGCACTCCAGCCTGGGTGACAGAGCAAGACTCTGTCAAAAAAAAAAGAAAGAGCATTTTATGCTGGGCGCGGTGGCTCAAGCCTGTAATCCCAGCACTTTGGGAGGCCGAGGCGGGTGGATCACGAGGTCAAGAGATCAAGACCATCCTGGTCAACATGGTG